TTTTAGCTACTCAAATGAAACTGCCCAGATTAATTTGTTTTGTTAAGTTGCCCTTCTACGCACTCTGACACTGGAAAAAAGTAATGGAAGTCAAGATCCTTCCAAATTGATGGAAGGAAAAGTGAATGAAGGCTACTAGATACTTCAGAGGAAAGTTATGCATCTGCTGTCACCCAGACTTGAGGAATCCAACCAAAATGCCCAGCTATATTAATGGTATAAAGGCACTAGTGGCTTCTACATGGTAACCCAATGGCTTCTGTGTTTTGTTATAAATCTTCTATTTGGTTTGTATCCACTGAACATTTTGCCTTTTTTCATTATCCCACAAAAGCTAGTAACACTTAAAAGAACACCTTTACAATTAAGTTTCTTAGAAGAGTGAACAGATACAACCAAAACTGGTGATTTGTCTTAAACTGAAATGACTATACACTGGAGATGGGGTGGGGAGTATCTGCACCCCATGGTGATGAGATACTACATCACCATGGGGTGCAGAATAAGGACTTCGGTATAGCCCAAAAACTAAATGAATACTTTACTTCATTTTTCCATAAGGATGAAAATATATATGAGGACAATGGTATGGTGTCTAATGGGAATGATGAGACAGTAATAGAAAAGACCACATCTGAGGTAGAAGCAAAACTTTGATTGATTACTGGAACAAAATCAGGAGGGCCCAAACAATCTTCATCCCAGAAGACTGAAAGAATTGTCATGTGCAATAGCAACTACTGTAGCAAAGAGCTTCAGTGAATCTATCAGTACAGAGATAATTATAACCAAAGAATAGTTATAGTTACACAGTGCCTGTTTGGGTTTTTATTAAAGACTCAAAAAACTGCAGGCGTACTAGTTTGCCTTGAACATGCTGCAAATTCTTAAACACTGAAAGAAACAATAACTACTAATGAATGACAGAGGTAAACAGAACATGGGACAATGTACTTTTATCCAAAGAAGGTCATGCCAGACACATTTAATATTCTTGTATAACAGAATAACTCAGTTATGGGCAATGCAATGGACCTAATCTAACTAATCTGAAGAAAGCATTTGACACTGTGCCTCACAGGAAATTATTGGCTAAAATGGTAAAGATGGGAACTCACAACACAATCATACAGTGGATAGGGGTTTGGTTAAAAGGAAGGTAGTGTTGAAAGGAGAGTTTATCTGATTGGCAAGAGATTACAAGTGGTGGTTCTCAGGGATTGGTCTTGGTACCAATCCTGTTTCATAGTTTCATTAGTGCTCTTAATGCAAGAAACAGATATGTGTGCTTATGAAATCTTTGGATAAAGAGGATTAGATTATCACACGGGACGTGTCTACATGAGATACTACATCACCATGGTGATGAGGTACAGCAATGTAGCTCGTCACTATGACGACATAGCATCAGTGGGCACTAACTGTGATACTGCTGCTACTGCACAGTAGCAACAGAAACAACCCCTGCACCACCAGGACTGCGCAGTACTGGCAGGTACTGCACAGTCATTTAATACTTGCTAAATTAGTACTTGCTAAAATATTACAGTGGGGCGCCTACAGAAAATGAAAACATCTTGTGGAGTACTACAAAAGGTACAAGAGCTATAGTACCAACTGCAAAGTTATGCATTTAGGGACTTATGCAAGAGGTTCACCAGTGAATGATAGGGAATGTGTTATGTAATGTATGTTCAGATGATGCTAAGAAGAAAATTTCTATAGAGGGGCCTCAGAGTTTGGGGGAATGGGAGAAAAGAGGGACCTGGATAAATTGGTTGATACTAGGATAACCATGAGCTGCCAGTGTGATGTGCACAGTAGAAATTAGAATAAGGCCATCATAAATTAGCATAATGTTAAATGAAGGTTTCTAACCATTAGAGGAGTGAAGTCCTGGAGTTGTCTTCCAAACAAAGAAGAAGGAGCTTGATAAGTCTAAGGACGTTATAAAGTGATAGGATGGAGTTGTCCCTGGAGCAGTAAGCAGTGTGTGATATGTAGCTGTGTGTGTTTGGTATTCCCATGAAGGGGCTGAAAGGAAGCTTGGTCTCTATGTAAGTAGCTTGCATGTGTAAGGGGTCTGGATGTCCCTGGTGTCTTCTGATACCTGCTGGGCACAAGAGGGATTTTCTCTTTCTTGGAATGTACTTTGGGTTCTGAAGCATTGGCGATTGTCCGCAGTTAGCTGAGACAGTGCCTGGGGTGCACTGGTGATCCTAATGGGGCTGTGAAACCATCTTGATGTCTGGCTGGTAAGTCTTAGTCATGTGCTCAGCATCAAACTAAGCACCAGATTTAGGTCAAGAAGGAATTTCCTTCCACATCAGGTTGGGGATTTGGGGAGTGGGGGTTGTCTTCCTCTGTAGGGTGAGACATGATTCGTAGAGCTACCTGAACACGTTCATGTTAGGTCATAACGTCCAAGAGTATTGTAATGAGGACTGCATTTTGAAGACTTTCCCAACAGGCATCTATCCAGGCCCACAGAGATAGCAGGTGAAGAGCCATGTCAGGAAGCTGGCCTAATAAAAGTTGGTCTAATAAAAAAGTTGTCTAATAAAGAAGTCGGTCTAATAAAAGGTATCATCTCTGAACCAAGAGATCTAGATTTTTGCATGTCAGGAAGCCTACACTCTGCCACCTGTGGTGCCTGTACTGCTCTTGTAGTGACACTGTAATGCAAAGTACATAAGCAGTATTTGAAGCAAAAACTCACCTTCTCCCTCCTATACAACAGCCTGGAGCCACAGACATAGTTGCCCTCCCTCTTGCTTGTTCTCCTCCTGTCCACAGCATGCTTTCCTAATTGGTTTCCCTGTGGCCACACTTTAACAAGAAGGTGCTTTCAGTCCTGCCTGATCTGTGGCTTGAGGATTAGGCTGCTGTTCTGTGAAGCAGGAGATCAGAGCTCAAACCCTCTTGGAGGGAGGTGAATCTAGGATGGGTCTCTCA